TTTTTTGTTTTATGAGAGAGGTTTTTCTCTATATCTCTGAATGTTCTGTAACTCATTCTGTAGACCAGGCTAGCCTCAATTTCATGGGTCCCCTTATGTCTGAGTAATTGGATTAAAGGTTTGCACCACCGGGACTAGAAAGCACATCTGATCTGGCTTCATGTTTCATTCTCCTTCCTCTTTTATATATTTACCATAGCACTGAGATGAAGATGCAGGCCATATGAGGGAAATTCAGAAAGTCAGATTTAGTACTTCATTAACCCATGTATCAACTTCTCCTTAGAATACCAACTATATCCCAAGACTTAGACTTTGCCTTGCTTTTATCATCAGATGTGTTAAAAGAAACTTCACTTGCAATTGTCTTTGAACCACAATCTTTACATATGTAAGATATGACTACTCCGTGAAAAGAATTAGTATACTAGAAATAAAAAATATGTTTTAGACCCTACATTTATTATACTTAACATCTATTTAAAAAAACCTTTTTGAGGAGAATGTCCCTGACTTTTCTGGTATAACTGGGTGTCCAAGAACACCCAGATGTTCATGTGCCTCATCATCTTGAATGCTATAAATAAGTATATAACATCACTACAAGATTGAGGGTATTTTGATATATTTCTCTCTGTATGGAGTTTTTATTTTATATTCATTTCAAACAATCTCCCTTGTCTTGTTTCTTGTGAACTGTTCTAGTACTTGTTATTATTCTACAATAATTTTGCTAATGTTCACTCTCTTTCTTGTTTTTCATTTCTTTCTTACTAAACATTATTTCTGATGACTAAATATTTAGCATTTTGATGTGAAAGTAGCAAAACCACAAAGGATTTCAGGATTTTATAGATTCGTAAAGACTAGTCAAAATGCTATTCACTCCATGAACTTACATTTAATATCTTTGGGAAAATGATTGTTTTGATGTAAAATATTTAACTGAAGACATTCAATAGGCCTCTGTGAACATAAAAGGCATGCCCAAGTTTTATTCTAACATTCTTTAATATAGGACAGATTTCTTTATGTGTTTTAATAAGAGATTGATCAATTTCTTCCATGTATTGCAATGAGAAAAGGATCAGAATGTGTTTAGAAACTGAACCAAAAAAAGTGAATTAATGAAAGAATTGGAAATTTAAAAGACTGGGTAGGGTAAAAAAAGTTTTTTTGAAGGAGACTTGTAATTGGAACTTTTGAGGAGTTGTATACATAGTAAATAAAATAAGGACTCAAGATACTGAAACTTACCTGTAAATGAATATTAAATTTGAGTGTTTGAATGATTCTAACAAATATTTTGTTTTTTATCTTTGTAGGAACTGACAACCAACCGTATTTCTATGGGCAAATAATAAACAATTTGAAACAATTGGAGGAGTTTCTATAGCAGATAAGAATATGGATTATTTACTGTTTAACAAGTTCTCTCATGTACATGTGTGTGTGTGCATGTGTCTGTATGTCTGTCTCTCCCCACCTATCTCTAATTGTATTTATGACACACACACACACACACACACACACACACATATATATATATATATATATATATATATATATATATATATATATATCAGTTTACAAAGGATATGACATAGATCCTTATAAATAGGGTTCTAAGTGGAGTTGAATATATGTTTTTGTTACTTGGCTAAGGTGAGATTTCTCCTATACCTCCTTTCCATCTCACCAAAATTTTTATAACAGGGTCAGGAAGGTGCCATTCAGCCACCAAAGGAGAGAGATGTGCCAGAATGCTGGAAAGTTACTAGTATGCCACAGCCTCATGGTCATACATGGTTTAATAGCAATTGGTTGATTTAAGTAATAAGATTAGCCAGGAATATGCCTAAGCAACAGACCAGGTAATGTTGTAATTAATATAGTTTCTGTGTGATTATTTGGGTCTAGGTAACCAGGAATGAAAAAACAGTCTCCAGTTACAAAGTGGCACCCAATGTGAGGTATGGATCTACATAAGAACTAAGAGAGAGAGAGAGAGAGAGAGAGAGAGAGAGAGAGAGAGAGAGAGAGGGCTTTTAGACACACAAATACAGGAGTCAAACAGAGCTTCTTGGAGCTGCATCTTTTTAATAGATAGGCTCTGTTTGCTGACAGCGAGCAGAGATGCAGCTCTTTTAAAAGAAGACTTCTTGACTGAGCATTGGCAGCCAAAATTCCTTGACTTCTTTAGGAGCAGGGAGGGGAGCAAAGAAAAATGTAGAGCTCAATAAAAATCAATAAAGAAGAGCCAGCTTCCTGGTTTATGCTGTCAGCACAGATGGACAGACAACTCTGATTCTGTTGGGAGGTCCTGCATTTAAATGGGGTTCATGAGCAGAGTGCTACAAATTGCTTGATGGCAGCATAGACCTGTTGTATCCCTGGAGCTGGGACAGTAAGCATGGCTCACAAAGTTGGTGAACATGGCTTTGCTATGTTGGATGGGGTAGAGCCAACAGACAGGACCCTGGAGTTGGTCCTAAAAATGCCTCTCTGCCTTTAGAAAGAAAAAAAGGCTCTCCTTGTCAGAAAATGTAAAGTGTAATTTAAAATAAAAGATTAATATATAATCATTTATAATAGTCAAAATTATAGTCATGTTACTTAGGTTTTCTAGATATGTAGAGATATATTT